CCGAACGTCTGCGGCACCTGCTGCGGAACCTGCGGAACGTGCGGAACAGCTCTCAACAGAAAAGAAGGTGCGTCTCGAACCAAATTATCTGTTTCCGTTGCTCGGTTCGACAGATCTCCACCCACCCCTGTTTCGCGCAGGAGTGTGCGCAGGCCTTGGAACACGGGGGGGGGGGCTGGCTGCTTGTATGATGCATGTGTGTATGATGTGCACGGTGGTTGTTTATGATATACGGAGCCTGCCTCTGGGGATTGGTGTGTTAGTGTGTGTTCTGATGATTTGGGAGTGACGACGGATTCTGTCTGTGCTTTGGGGCTCTCATGGCCCATCTCTGCTCGGGCTTCGTGCATGTCAACACCNCCGAACGTCTGCGGCACCTGCTGCGGAACCTGCGGAACGTGCGGAACAGCTCTCAACAGAAAAGAAGGTGCGTCTCGAACCAAATTATCTGTTTCCGTTGCTCGGTTCGACAGATCTCCACCCACCCCTGTTTCGCGCAGGAGTGTGCGCAGGCCTTGGAACACGGGGGGGGGGGCTGGCTGCTTGTATGACGCATGTGTGTGTGATGTGCACGGTGGTTGGTTATGATACACGGAGCCTGCCTCTGGGGATTGGTGTGTGTGTTCTGATGATTTGGGAGTTACGACGGATTCTGTCTGTGCTTTGGGGCTCTCATGGCCCATCTCTTCTCGGGCTTCGTGCATGTCAACACCAACTCATGCCCTATAGGTTATTCAAGGACGGCACATATGCATGTACAAGACCAAACGGATCGGGTGCTAGGGTGTTAACGCGTGGTCACCCACGGAACACGCGAACACGATATATCAATGTTGGCGCGTTCGGTAGGTCACCAGACTGTTACGTTCTATTAAATAATTGCAGCCGATCCGCGTGGAGATGTAGATGTATATGACGTGCTTCCCGTCAATGTTTTTTGTGTTGGGTGAGTGACGAGACGTTAACACCCTAGCAGCCGATCCTTGTGGAGACACGTGTTTGTGACGTACTTTCATATGTTAGGGCATCAGTCGTGTTGACATGCACGGGGCCCGAGCAGAGGTGATAGCCATGAGAGCCCCAATGCACGGACACGGAACTCCGCCGTATCTCCCAAAACATTAGACCACACCTTCCACAACCAATTCCCCAATGGGCAGGCTCCATGTATGATCACCGACCGCCGTGTGTAGCATACATCAAACAAAGAAAAAGATCGTTTCAGGATAGAAAGGTGCCGAGTGTAAAATGGTTGACTACGGCAGTTTGTTCGAATTGAATGTAATGCGGTTTGAACGAAAATCCGGGGTCCTGAGCGATGCCCGTCGAAACCGACTGGTACACGTGCATGGCCATATTTTGTTTTGTTTTTTTTTCCATCCGAACGTACCCTTTTGCCGGCTTTCGCTCTCCTCCCCTTTTGTTTTATACGCAAGAATGATTCAACACTACAATGCTCGTGAAACGTAGCCTGGGCTGGCGAAAACCCAGCATATTGCAGCTCCGTCCCGGGATCGTAGGGATGCGAAGTCAATGGTCCATAACGATTAACGCCTACGGTTACGTAGCCCCCACCCTCTTCCTCCGTCTTGTCGAAGACGCGTGGTCAACGGTTTNGAGGGGGGGGGGGGGGGGGGCCCCCCCCCCCCCCCCTCCCTCCTCCTGCTCCGTGTTCTCGACGACCCGCGGCCAGTGGTCTCACGACACTGCGTAATGCGTGCACATGTGCACCCCAACCCAACCTCCCCCCGTTCTACGCACGCCTGATGGAGAGCGAGTTGGAGCCCTCCAGGAAGGCAGCGGGATCGACACCGAGACGACCATGGCCAGCACCAACGGACTCAACGTGCGTGTGGGAAAATGTGTCATTCAAATGCACCCTCAAAGGGGGGGGGGCACCGTGGATGCGACGGTCTTGCACGCTACCACAATGAAGCGACGATATTTATTACACCTCGCCTTTGTCTCGGTTGCTGGCTGTCAACGGTGATGCAATCTGAGAGCCAGGATCCCCCCCGCCCCCGTTAGGAACGATTGGTAATCGGTGATCCGTCCTGTAGGAACAATACCGTAATCATCGGGGTCTTGGCACACTGCGCGGTCGTTTTTTTAATTGTTTCGAACTTGCGATTTTTTCGCACAGGTGTGCGAAGACCCCGATATCTGCCAAGTTCGCGATACCTGTGCGGAAATGCAGTAAATATTTTTGTTCTAAGAAACAACGCACACCCCTGTGCCAAGACCCCGATATGTGCGATCCTAACATTGAAAACCACAGGGGATAGCAGCACTTCGCGTGTAGGGTATTGCTGCAACACGATCACAACAAAACCAACAGACAAGCTAGTAGCTGCACACACAAACGAGTCTCGGGGAATTGCCACCACAACACTTCCGTGGCGGAGAAATACCGGCGGAAAATCGGGAAAATGCCCGGGACGGAGCTGCGGGCTCGACCACACGCAACGCGCGGCTACGATGTCGGAGGGTGCAAGCGCGGGACGTGCCAACGCTNACACGCAACGCGCGGCTACGATGTCGGAGGGTGCAAGCGCGGGACGTGCCGACGCTTCACAGACCTCACAGACCTCACAGGCTAGTGCTGGCGGTCCTTCCTCTGCGGATCAGAGAGCTGCCGCTGCGGACCCGAAGGCAACCGGCGAGGCTATCGATGAGATGCTGGCCGCCAACGACCCCGTCAAAAACAGCAACGGCAAACGCGTATCCGGAGCCCAGCTTCCCGATCGAGCGGTCAGGAGCAGTGGGAGGGAAAGGGAGCTACCCCATCCGGTTCAAACCGAACGCGGCGGCCTACACACTGGAGATCTGCCCGTGCGACGGTCAACCGGTGGCAAAGAACGGCGCGGCGAAAGTTGTCCAGGTGCCTCGGAAGCGTATCATTGAGTGGCTGAAGCAGGAGGAGCAGCTCAGGGAAAAGGTCAGCGCCAACCCCAAGCTTTCGAAGGCCAAGCAGGTTCACAGCGGAGGGAAGGCTTCGGCAGTCGACGCCGAACAAGCCCTTGTGGACTAGATCAACGAGCAGCGCAAGCAGCACCGCGGTTGTGGTAATCGGGAGGTGATGAACAAGCTGCTCGAGCTGAAGCCTGACGCCCTTGGCAGGATGCCGGAGGAGGCGCTGGCTTTCAAGGTCAAATTCAACTCCTGGTACCAACGGTTCCGCAAGCGAAATCGGTTCAGCATCCGCNCTTCCCGATCGAGCGGTCAGGAGCAGTGGGAGGGAAAGGGAGCTACCCCATCCGGTTCAAACCGAACGCGGNAGTGCTGGCGGTCCTTCCTCTGCGGATCAGAGAGCTGCCGCTGCGGACCCGAAGGCAACCGGCGAGGCTATCGATGAGATGCTGGCCGCCAACGACCCCGTCAAAAACAGCAACGGCAAACGCGTATCCGGAGCCCAGCTTCCCGATCGAGCGGTCAGGAGCAGTGGGAGGGAAAGGGAGCTACCCCATCCGGTTCAAACCGAACGCGGCGGCCTACACACTGGAGATCTGCCCGTGCGACGGTCAACCGGTGGCAAAGAACGGCGCGGCGAAAGTTGTCCAGGTGCCTCGGAAGCGTATCATTGAGTGGCTGAAGCAGGAGGAGCAGCTCAGGGAAAAGGTCAGCGCCAACCCCAAGCTTTCGAAGGCCAAGCAGGTTCACAGCGGAGGGAAGGCTTCGGCAGTCGACGCCGAACAAGCCCTTGTGGACTAGATCAACGAGCAGCGCAAGCAGCACCGCGGTTGTGGTAATCGGGAGGTGATGATCAAGCTGCTCGAGCTGAAGCCTGACGCCCTTGGCAGGATGCCGGAGGAGGCGCTGGCTTTCAAGGTCAAATTCAACTCCTGGTACCAACGGTTCCGCAAGCGGAATCGGTTCAGCACCCGACGGCGTACCAGCGTGGACCAGAAACTGCCGAAGGGGTACGAGGGTATGGCGTGGGCGACGGTGATGAAGCTGCGCGAGGCTCTCGTAAAGCGCGCCGGTGAGATCTACGCTCGGCGCCACCAGCCGGCACCTGACGAGAGCCCCATCAAAGGGGAGGAGCTGACTTAGCTGACTTCCGAGCAGCTGGCGTCTGTGGAGGCGGAGGTTTTCGAGGAACTCGGCAACATGAAGCAGACGCCAGTCCAGCAGGAGATGCCGGTGGAGACCACTCTGGAGAAGACCGGTGCAAAGGATGCTCGCATCAGCACAGGAGGTGTGGGCGAGCTAATATTTTTGTCAAAATTTTGTGTGGTGTGCGGATATTTAGTCGTTGGACAATTTTTGAAGACACATTTTTATTTTATTTTTGCGTGCCGGTACACGGTGCGATGTAGCTCTATCCGTAGACACAGGAAGGTTGCTACCTTTTTCTGCGGGATTATTCTACACTTCCTTTTTCACTGTATCCAAACTATCAACCAATTTTGTTTCNTTGCGTGCCGGTACACGGTGCGATGTAGCTCTATCCGTAGACACAGGAAGATTGCTAACTTTTTCTGCGGGATTGTTCTACACTTCCTTTTTCACTGTATCCAACCTATCAACCACTTTTGTTTTCGAGACGTCCGGTACCGTTTGCATCCATTGTATCAACCACACACGTTGTCCTCGCAGAAATATTCAACACTCTACTTCCCCACCCCCCTCCCCTCGCGTTGATTTTTCCCCCCTCCCCTCAGGCAAAAAGAACGAACGCTTCACGCTCGTTCCGGCTGTCATGGCGGACGCCAAAAAGGTTTCGCCGCGCATCATCTTCAAGGGCACGCCGTTCATCCCCCCGACCGTGAGCGGCAAGGGCAAGAGCACCCTGCCGCGGAATAACTCCCCCTGCCAACGGCATGTCCTTCGGCGTGCAGGAGAAGAGCTGGAGTGACCAGCGGGAGTGCAACGGGTGGATCCCGGGCAGCTGGAAGCTCCGTCCCANAACTCCGTCGCGTGGGAGATCCATCCTGCGAATCGATCCAAGCACGGCCACCCTGCCGACGCAATGTCCTTCGGCGTGCAGGAGAAGAGCTGGAGTGACCATNCCCCCCTCCCCTCGCGTTGATTTTTCCCCCCTCCCCTCAGGCAAAGAGAACGAACGCTTCACGCTCGTTCCGGCTGTCATGGCGGACGGCAAAAAGGTTTCGCCGCGCATCATCTTCAAGGGCACGCCGTTCATCCCCCCGACCGTGAGCGGCAAGGGGAAGAGCACCCTGCCGCGGAATAACTCCGAAGCCGTGGGAGATCCATCCTGCGAATCGATCCAAGCACGGCCACCCTGCCGACGCAATGTCCTTCGGCGTGCAGGAGAAGAGCTGGAGTGACCATCGGGAGTGCAACGGGTGGATCTCGGGCAGCTGGAAGCTCCGTCCCAACAACGGCAGCATCGTCCAGCAGCGCCCGTGCGTCCTGGTGCTGGACGACTTCAAGTGCCACAAGGACGAGGGTTTCATCGCCCCCCTCAAAGAGAGACGTCAACACCATCGTCATCATCCCAGGCGGGTTGACGCCCTTGCTCCAACCGCTCGACCGCATGCTCAACAAGCAGATGAAGCGGCTGCTGCGGGGCAAGTACACCGCCTACAGCGCGTCGGCGGTCGCAGACGCCCGGTCGCGGGAGCTGAAGGCACCGGAGCGTGGGGTCGTCTCTGCGTGGTGCAAGGAAGCGTGGAAGTCCATCAACCCCGAGACGTTTAAGACTTGCTTCAAGATCTGCGATCTCACGCTCGCGCTCGACGGCAGCGAAGACCACGCCTGGTGCGAGCACAACCTCGGGGAAGACTAC